GTCATTTGCATATCTTGTGTTTCTTTCTGTGTCTGCTATCAACAATTTGTCATTTGCATATCTTGTGTTTCTTTCTGTGTCTCTATCAACAATTTGTCATTTGTATATCTTGTGTTTCTTTCTGTGTCTGCTATCAACAATTTGTCATTTGCATATCTTGTGTTTCTTTCTGTGTCTGCTATCAACAATTTGTCATTTGCATATCTTGTGTTTCTTTCTGTGTCTGCTATCAACAATTTGTCATTTGTCATATCTTGTGTTTCTTTCTGTGTCTGCTATCAACAATTTGTCATTTGTATATCTTGTGTTTCTTTTCTGTGTCTGCTATCAACAATTTGTCATTTGCATATCTTGTGTTTCTTTTCTGTGTCTGCTATCAACAATTTGTCATTTGCATATCTTGTGTTTCTTTCTGTGTCTGCTATCAACAATTTGTCATTTGCATATCTTGTGTTTTCTTTCTGTGTCTGCTATCAACAATTTGTCATTTGCATATCTTGTGTTTCTTTCTGTGTCTGCTATCAATTTGTCAATTTGTCATTTTGCATATCTTGTGTTTCTTTCTGTGTCTGCTATCAACAATTTGTCATTTGTATATCTTGTGTTTCTTTCTGTGTCTGCTATCAACAATTTGTCATTTGCATATCTTATGTTTCTTATGATTTTGGCCGCCAATAAAGGATGACAGATAATAAATATATTTTTATTGACTTTCTTTTATGGCATATTTTCCCGCCATTTCTTTACAAACTCTTTTCCCGCCACTTTTTAAAAACTTTTTTTTCAGGGCAAATTTGATTTGTCAATAGCAAAGGCAGTAATCCCGTTATTACGAAAAAACAAGTAAGTTAAACTTAACCATTTTATCTTCTATTTTTTTTTTTAAATGAGTATCTGTTGTGGAGTAGTTTTCACAGTGGTGGCTTGTATTTCAATAAGTCGTCCTAAATTAGGTTCGACGTACAAAACGTTAGGAACTTGAAAATAAGAGTTGATGCAGCAATCTAGTTGTGATGGTTGGTACTTCAATGTCCGATATCGTCTGACGCGCTCAACACCACTGAGCCGAACTGGCGACTGCTACTACTACTTATTATCTGTGGGAGAGTCCGTTACAATAGAATAAGTAATATGGCATAACAGTATCAGAAATTGATAAGTGTCTCGTGCCCCCCACTAAATCTGTGATATTTTTCTATGGTAGTATTCATATAAAATAAAAATGTTTATTGTAACCTAATTATGTACAATAATGGATCATATGCAATATAAGTGAACAATTTAACTAGAAAAATTGAAAATAAATCTAATGTATCTAAATACAAATTAGAGACATGTCTTAAGAGATCATTTCATCTTAAATAAATCAACGATGATTTGTAGTAATTTTTAACACTGACTTGAGATTTTCTTGTTAAAAAATAATGAATTTTATAAAAAGTGTTTTTTCCGAGACAGCATGATTAAAACAAATTCACAGGCGGAAAACAAAGAACCCAGAATGACATTAAAATCTGCTAAAAATTTTAATCCTTTATAATCAGGTGTGCTTAGTTTAATTTAATCTCTGATATTACACTCTACTACATTTTAATTTTCATAAGGTAATAATCATATATAATACACATTTTATTGTAACCTAATTATGTACAATAATGGATTATATGCAATATAAATGAACAATTCAACTAGAAATATTGAAAATAAATTAAAATGTAACTAAATACAAAATTAGAGACATGTCATAATAGATCATTCCATCTTAAGTACATTTAAATAAATAATGTTTTACTGAAATTTTTAACATGGACTGGAGATTTTTTTTGTTAAAATGTTGGAGAATTTTTACATCATGAATAAAAAAAAAAACATATTGTGTTTTTTTCCGAGACATCATGAGCAAATGTATTCAGAACTTCATGACAGTCGAGGGATCAAGTGCAATCATTTTCAATGGAAATTATTGATAACCCAGATAACGTTCCATTTCTCATTGTTGATCGCAGATCATTTTTAGAAGTTTTAGTTTGCTTCTCTAGAATGTATGATATGTGTCCCATTCCGCTACATCTTAGTTTTCCTCAGCTAGTATCCATATAAAATACACATTTTATTGTAACCTAATTATGTACAATAATGGATCGTATGCAATATTGAAAATAAATTAAAATGTATCTAAATACAAATTAGAGACATGTCATAATAGATCATTTCATCTTAATAAATCGACAAATTTTGGCAGCAATTTTTAACATCTACTTGAAATTTTTCTTGTTAAAAAGTTGAATTTTAACACATCATGGATAAAAATATAATGAATTTTATATAGTTTTTTTCTTTTTAAGACTTAGTATGAGCAAAACAAATTCACAGATTTGGAGGAAAAAATAAGACACCCCAGAATTACATCAAAATCTTTCATCCTTTAATAGTCAGTTGTGCTTTGTTTAATTTGTAATGTATATAAATGTAGGTAAAAAAAAAAGAATGCTGATAATATAGCGTGGGTCACAAAGCACTGCCCAATCGGGCTCCCCTCTCCCCAGAGTACAAGCTGACCCTGCATCAGATTAATACTTTTCCCAATGCCATGACTCATTTCCTACACTGATGGAGGTTCAACAATGTGGATGAGGATGAAAATAGGGATGTGGAATTTTTTTTTTTGCCTTTAAACCAGACAAATGACATAAGCGTGGAATTGAGCTTCTGCCACGACAATGGAAACAGATAATAGATATATTTTGATGAATAAACGTTTTTTGTACGCAATTTGTTTGAAGTATTAATAGATAAATGTTGCTAAGATTGCAAGGATCACAAAGCACTGCTTGGGGGGGGGGCAATCAGCCACCTTCCCCCCAAGTCAGGGAGTTCCAAGGATAGTACATACTGGGCCTGGTAGGAGAGATCAACACCTACTGCCATAACACTAATATTTGCCTCTAATTTTGTAGATTAACATAAATTAGGAAGCATTACTTTTGGAGCATCCACAGTTATATCCTATGTGAAAAAATAAATTAGATAATATTAAAAAAGAAAAGAAAAATATTTAACTTACCAGTTGAGTCAGCGAGAGCAAATGCTCCATAGACACAAGTTTCATATCTGAATTAGAGGGGGAGAAAAAAAAGGAGAATTCATATTCATTGACAAAAACTAAACAGCCCCACCTGAAAAAGATAAAACCTCTAGACGAGAGTTTCTCAAACCAGGATAGACAAGAAAATTGATTGCTTGATTTGTTTTTTATGGCTTATCAACCCTTGGCAGGTCATTTAAATTTAGTGGTACAAACTTTACTAATTAGCTTCGGGGGTCAGGTGGATTCATACTTGATCAGAAACTGATAAACAAAAAAATTAAAAGTGGGGGATCAATTCTATATTACAATCAATATATAAACTAACCCCTCACTTTGTGGCCATGATAGTTTCATACATTTATATTCCAGAGAATGTAAATAAATTTAAAAACATACCTATGTACACTCTTGTGCAAATTAATTGAAACAAAACGAATAATTCTGTTATTTACTTTTCGTATCTTTCCTATGAAACATGACCCAGTGTACATGTTAGTACTTCATATGTCCATTCCACAAAGTCCTTCCTTGCAGATTGACCACAGATTCTCGATAGGATTTAAATCAGGAGAGTTTTCTGCACCATAGTACTTTGTTTTCGCTCACTGGTAATGCTTGCTAGTGTGTTTGTGCAGCATTACAAATTTTCATCTGCTTCCTTGGAGTAACGCCCATCACGGAGAATGGCCATAGGACAACTAATCGACAGTCAAGACAGTAGTGTCTGGGCATGATAAAAATCTGATGCAATCACGGGTGACACAATATTTTTTAAAGCCAAACAAATTTCATCATACAAACCAAAAATAGATTCATATTACTGCAAATGACCTAATCTGAGGAAAAAATAGAAATAAATTACACCGTGTCACTCCAGTGGGTCTAAAACTGTTCAAATGGTGAAATAAAGGAAACGTGGTTGTTTCAATTAACTTGCACAAGGGTGTGACTAATCAATATTTCATCAATTGATTGATTCATTTTCTACAGCTTATCAACCCTTTCAAAGTTATTTAAAGCCAGAAAATATTTTTAGTTTGAAAAAATCGGAGGTGAGATAATATGGTTTAGTGATACAAGTTTTACTAATTAACCTATTGCTGGAGAAAGAAGAGGTGGATTCATACTTTTCCCAAAGATATTTGTGCATAAGTGAATATAATGAACTCAATGAGAATTGAAACTCAGCTATCCGATTAACAATACATTACACCACCTGCACATCCAAGCTTACAGCACCTGGTATTCCAAAGCGGTTACCCATTTAGATACTGACCAGGTTTAATGTTGCTTAACTTCAGTGATCATGTGGGAACCAATGTTTCAATATGAAGTGTCTTTAAGCCACACAAGATCAAGGAATATGCAATCAAGTCTTTTTTTTTTTTTTTTTTTTACAATAAGCGATAACATTCTTGAAAGCCATCAATAGAATCAGTAAATTAGCTCAGGTGGTACTGTATTAGGTTCATGTACCCTGAATCCAGCATAAAAATTCAGGATCAACTAATCAATTGTTTAGTTTTTTTTTGTTTTTTTACAGTTTATCAACCTTTTGCAGGTTATTTAAAATCAAAAAAATATTTTTAGTTTGTAAGAATTTTATGGAGATAATCATGATTTTTAATGATGCAAGAATTATGGGGGAGAAGAGATGGATTTATACCTTTCCCAAGAGCACTTGCGCATAAGCAAATATAACAAACCCAACTAGAATTGGTACTCGGCTCTCCGATTCCAAGCCATTATCAATTGCACTAGCTGCACATCCAAGTGTACGGCGTTATCTAGTATTCCCAAGCAGTCACCCTTCTAGGCACTGACTGGGCTCAATGTTGCTTAACCAGTGATCATATGAGAACTGGTGTTTTAACATGATATGGCCGCAAGCCATATGACCCACACATCAAAGCTTACAGCACCTGGTATTCGCAAGTTGTCAACCATCTTGGTACTGACCAGGCCCAACATTGCTTAAATTCAGTGATCATATAAGAACTGGTGTTCTAATATGACATGGCCATATGGAATTAGTAAAACTAAGTACTTCAGCTATCTCCATGTATGGATCAGTTACAATAAATTTAGTATAGGAAATCAGGAAATTCAGATTCATCAGTTCCCATTTGACAGACTAATGAAGGTTTCATCTTTAACTTCAGTCTTCTAAGTGGCATCCTCAACTTTGATGGGGTGGGAAGTAAAAGAGTGAATTAGGGTTTTTTTTGAGATCATGTGGCAACAAAACCGGAAATACAGTATATTCAGGTGCTGGACTATATTAACCTTTAGCACTCTGCATTACTATAATTACTTCCCTTTCCCCTGCATTTTTTGTCAAGGACTCTCAATTGCAGTATCCTTATTGTTAATTTCACTCAAAGTTGTTTTCTGTTGCCATAGCAGGATATGACAACACAACTATGAAATTCAAACAAATTCAGGGATCAGAGATAAACTGATGATGAAGGTTAACTGCTATGATTGGAAGGAAAGTTCTGGTTTGCTTTTAGAGAAGACAGACTTGTCTGTTAACTGCTCCCTACACGGTTCATTCATATTTCCAGCCACCACATCAGGATATGTAGATGGGCAAAGATTTGGGGTGGGGGGGGGAGCTGACATAGCAGAAGTTATCCCAAGTATCACCTACCTCCCTACCCAGATGAGCAGGCAAAGCCCTGAATAAAATGGCACAAAAAGTGAATGATTGATGAGGAAAGCACATGTGGTGAGGGTTGGGCTCCGTCAGACTATCTTGCCCAAGAAACACCACTTCTACTGCAGCTACAGTACACATAGGGCCTCTATGACTCTACTGGTTACAGAATAATAATAATAAAAAAAAATGCTGAAATGGATGCAAGGAAGTCATAGCCCACATAAAAAAATCATAGCAAACATAGAAAAAAAATCAGCAAGTTCAAATATCAATTAAAACTAAAGGGCTTCATCAAATATCCATTTCATCTCATCCTCCAACTACAGGTAAAAAAAAAAAAAAAAACATAGGGTGGACTCAGCTATCTAGGCTTGGTAGGGTAATCAGTCAAGATTAAATTAAAAGCTCAACATATAGAGGGTGGGGTTTTAAAGGAGAAAAAAGTTTCTTACCACATATTTTCAGTCCTAATTGTCTGAGTTTTGTAAATTTCTAAAAAAATAAAAAAATTGAAAAATAAAGAACAGATAAAAGAAAGGAAAAAATTGAAAAAGAAAGAAAAAAGTGAAAAGTGAAAAAAGAAGAGTCCAAAAAAATGGAAAAAGAAAGAAAAAAAGAAAAAAGTGAAAAAAATAAAATAAACAAAAAAGTGAAAAAAATAAAAAAAAAAGTGAAAAAAATAAAAAGTGAAAAAATAAAAAGTGAAAAAATAAAAAAAAATTGAAAAAAAAAATTAAAATAAACAAAAAATTGGAAAAAAAATTAAAATAAACAAAAAATTGAAAAAATAAAATAAACAAAAAATTGAAAAAAATAAAATAAACAAAAAATTGTAAAAAAATAAAATAAACAAAAAGTGAAAAAAAAATTTGAAAAAGGGAAAAAAATAAACAAAAAGTGGGGGGGAAATAAAAAAAGTGAAAAAAATAAACAAAAAGTGAAAAAAATAAAATAAACAAAAAAGTGAAAAAAAATAAATAAAAAAGTGAAAAAAATAAAATAAACAAAAAGTGAAAAAAAAAAAAAAATAAAAAAAAAAAAAAATAAAAAAAAAAAATGGGGGAAAAAACAAAAAAAAAATAAAATAAAAAAAAAGTGAAAAAAAATAAAATAAACAAAAAAGTGAAAAAAATAAAATAAATAAAAAAATGAAAAAAAATTTTAAAAAAAAGTGAAAAAAAAATAAACAAAAAGTGGGGGGAAAAATAAACAAAAAGTGAAAAAAAATAAACAAAAAAGTGAAAAAAAATAAACAAAAGAGTGGAAAAAAATAAACAAAAAAGTGAAAAAATAAAATAAACAAAAAAGTGAAAAAATAAAATAAACAAAAAATTGAAAAAAAATAAAATAAACAAAAAAGTGAAAAAAAAAATTTTGAAAAGTGAAAAAAATAAACAAAAAGTGGGGGGAAAAATAAAAAAAGTGAAAAAATAAACAAAAAGTGAAAAAAAAAAAAAGTGAAAAAAATAAAATAAAAAAGTGAAAAAAAATAAAATAAACAAAAAAGTGAAAAAAAAATTTTAAAAAGTGAAAAAAAATAAACAAAAAGTGAAAAAAAATAAACAAAAAGTGGGGGGGAAATAAACAAAAAGTGAAAAAAATTAAACAAAAAAGTGAAAAAAATTAAAATAAACAAAAAAGTGAAAAAAAATAAAATAAAACAAAAAAGTGAAAAAAATAAAACAAAAAAGTGAAAAAAAATAAACAAAAAGTGGGGGGGGGGAAATAAACAAAAAGTGAAGAAAAAAATAAACAAAAATGTGAAAAAAAATAAAATAAACAAAAAAGTGAAAAAAAATAAAATAAATAAAAAAGTGAATAGAGCACACATGCAAACAAACAAATTAAAAAACTATGACAAAGCAGAAAATTCCAAGACTTCATCAGGCAGAAGTGATGTGACAACATGTCTGCATGAACGAGAAGAGACATGCTGCAAATTTTAAATTTAATTTTTTTAATATACGTTTTTGGTATATAGTAACAAAAGTGATTGAAACAAACAAAAAGAATAAAAAAACAAAATGGAATTGGCTAGAAAGATATTAAAAAAAAAAAAAAAATTAAAATTAAATTTAAAATCCCCAGTATTGCCTCTCCTTCACTCGCATTCACATAAATAGAAACACCACATTAATCTGATGAAGGTCCAAAAAGACAAAATGTATCATGTACGAACTCTTTTCACTTTGTCAGTTTTTCTAAAAACATCCAAACACGGGAAGAAAAAAAAAAAAAAAAAAAATCGTGCTGTTCTTCAAATTTCCAGTCCAAAGAAAAAAAACTCAAGTGAGTAACTAAAATAAAACTTAGATTGCTCAATACATTAAGTAGGGCAAAGGTAAATAATATGAATCCTAAAGAGTCCAGGACTAAATACATAGGTTTCAACTAAAAAGATATTCAAGTTGAAGATCCTTTTCAGCTTACTTTACAGATCCATTTTATTGAAACCTAGGTAGGTAGTTCCGGGCTCTTTAGAATTTATATATATATATTTTATTACATATTTTAATTGACTTTCAGATATTTTTCTTGTATATTGAGCACTTTTTAAAATTTTTCAATGTTCCCTGGTCTGATTCATATTTGACCATTAACATTATATATATATATATATATATATATAAAGAAATATAGTTTTAAGGTGTGCTATATTTATGGGATAAAGTGCTCAATATCAGAGATAGAACATATGCAAATATAAATATAAAAGTGAATATTGAAGTCAACACAGAGAGGCAACAGGCTGTTTCATGCTAGACGTAATTGTCAGGCTGCCTGATGATTGCATCCAGCATGAAACAGCCTATTGCCTCTCTGTGTTGACTTCAATGCTTATATATATACACACATTTGTAATCTGTGCATTATTACTTTCTGGCTTTGTGATAATTAGTGCAAAAAGTGAATCCATCTTGTGAATTATACATTTATACATAAGTTATTTTGTTTTCTTTTTTAAATGAGAATTATAAGTTTTGAACAAAATGTTTTCCACATGTGAAATGAGATTTGAATTATTCTAAATAGTAAATTTAAAAAAAAAAATGCATTCCAAAGAGTTCTTTTCTGTCAGAAAATTGTAACAAAAAAAAGGGGAGATAACTCACGTCTAACACGCAGCCAATCTCATTATAATGAAGTTCTGCTGACATTGTCAACACCTCCAACTTGGGATATTGGTTCAACAGCATCTTAAAGAACTTCACCCCTACCTGAAATAGGACATCACAGAAAATTCTCAGAAGAGAGGAAAAGAAAAAAAAGTAAGATACAAAGATTGGAGAATAACACTATCAGCTGAAATTATTCATTTTTATAAACTGTTCTCCGTCCAACAACACCCCACCGACAAAGTGTTGCTAGCGTGGAACCCTGTTAAAACTTGTTGAAAAAATTTGATAGATTTAAGTAATATCACTAAAAACTTCAATTCTGTGTTTCATTTGTTTGTTCATATTTTGAAATCGACCTCATTTTTTTTGCACAAAGTCAGATTCTGATTCCAATTTCCACATTTGCATTTATTTATTTACCAATCAGCTGGTATGTTATTTTCAAAAAATACTTATTAATTTTTTTTACAAAACGTTGTTGATGTTTTTTATTTTACAAAACATATCAATGGGTTATGTAATGCCTACAACTTTTTTTTTTTATTTGGTAATATTTTTTTTTTGCCAAAATCTACTTTTTTTAAAAAATATTTTTTTTTCAAAAAATATATAGCTGGTAATATTATTTTAAAACATGTATTGTTGATAATTTTTTTTTTTTTTTCAAAATAAAATATGTAGCTGGTAATATTATTTTAAAACATGTATTGCTTGGTAATATTTTTATTTTTCAAAAATTTATTTCTGGTAATAATTTTTTTTACAAAGTATTTCTGGTATTAAAACCTATTCTTACACTTTTTATAATGGAAGTTCGATTTTTATACCTCAGTTTCGGGGTTAACTATTTGCCCATAGCTGGGACCCTAACAGGTGCTACCACCCCAGATCAGGGTGGACCTGGGAACACCAGCAATTAAGAGGTGGTTCCACGCACCTCAAAACCTCCTCATCAGAGGCCTTGCTGTTGGATGCAGTTTAACATCATACCCAGGATGGTTATTCTGCTGGTATAGTAAACCAAAGGATGCACATTCTAAGCATGCCACACATTGAAAATCAATGATCTAATACATTAATAGCAATGAGAAAACAAAAACACACACAAAAAAAAAACATGAAAAGGAGAGACGAGACAAAGAAAGAAAAAAAATGATACAAAATTTTACATACATTGCTTAATCTCCCAAAATTAAATTCTGTGAGAGATTTTGGTAGATATTTAAAAGCCTGAAGAAAAAC